GAGTGTCTGTCTGCAAGTGAGAAGGGGGTCAGGTAAGGCTGTCTGCCTGCTGCCCAGGCCCCAGCCCAGGCCCTTCCCAGACTGTGATGACCACCTTGGGCCCAGTGCTAGGGTCACATGGGATTGCAAGGCCCTGGGTTTTTCATATTTAAAGCCAATTTTTATTACTCATTTTGTCCAATATACGCTGCCACCTGTCTCCGTATGAATACAGTCCGAGCACAAACCTGGCCCATGGCCCCTGCCTGCCTCTTTCTTGCTCAGCTGCTCTGGTAGGCTTCCTGCTTGCCCCAGCCCATATGGGGGACTGGAGGTGGGCTGGCAGGGCTGTCCTCCAGCAAGGCCCAGGATTCCCAGGCTGGCCTTTGGATGACCCCTCTGCCAGCCAGGTCTTCGTTGGTGGGCTTCAGGACCTCCCAGCTTCCTCAAGGGGACAAGGCTTTCCGGAAGGGGTCTCAGGACCCCCTGGGGTGTGAGTGTCTCAGCCTAGGCCGGTGAGGCCAGCTGACAGCTCCCCTGCCAAGGGCAAGGTGACTGCCATTGTGGGCTTGGAGAATCGTGGGGCTAGGCCTGGGGACTGGGGCTAGGCCTCCCCTGAAGCCTGGGCCCCACCCATCTGCCTTGCCCTGGAAGTGGGAAAGATGGGTAGGAAGAGCCCTAGACTGGGGTAGTGCTGTGAAAAAGACTTAGCAGGGTTGGGGGGCACTAGGCATGCATCTCTGGAGACAGTAATTGAACCAGACCTTGAAGGAGACTTGACTGAGGACCAGAGGGTATTTGGGAAGATAATTTTAGGCAGGGGCCCCTCCCACACCTGGCTGGGAGATGAGAGTTCATCCACCCACAAGGCTGCCCTGGCCTTGCAGAACCATCCCCACTTGATAGCCACCTTGAGTTCCCAGCCCCACTATAAGGGGGCTTGTTCCTTGCCTTTGGGCTGGGCATGTGATACCTCAGAAGCCCCCTCACTTTGCATTTGGTTAGTTCTGGGTTCAAGGTCCCTTTCCAGCTGTGTGGCTTTGTATGACACCTTTCCCTAGCAGGAAATGGCAGCCTTGCAACATAGCTGTGAGGGTTAACTGAAGTTGGGTGCCAAGTCCTCAAAGACAGCCAGAAGGCTGGGTGCCCTTGGCAGCAGGAGTCTCTGTGCCAGGCCAACCCTTGGTGGAGAGGTTGTTGTCTCATCAACTTGAGGGGAGTGGTGGGGCGAGAAGGCCTTGCTCGGGCTGTGCTGGGTAAGGAAGTGGTCCATGCAGAGTGGTGAAGCCAGATCCTCCCCATGAGTGTGAGGATGGGGCCCGAGGTGCCTCTTCCTCCCTGCCCCACAACCGCAATGGGGGGTGGTTAGGTCAGTGCCCGCCCTTGAGCCCATGTGTGGATGTGAGCCAGAGCTGGGTGGATGTCTGTCTCCCAAGGCACTGCTTGCAGCTAAGTCCCAGACCCTGCCAAGCTCCCCTTGGGCAAGAGAGGCCTCCAGGGAACTTGGTGAGGTGAAGCTTACCCTAAGTCCTCAAGTAGATCCTTGATGTTGGGAACTCCCAGAATCCATTCCCTAGGGAGCCTTGCCTCCCCACCTAGCTCTATGGTGGGGTTCCAACCACTCAAACTGGTAAGGAGGCAAGCATGGGAATGGACAATGTGGTCAGCACTAGGCAGAGATGCCTTGGAAGAGAAGCCAGGCAGGTGCTCAAAAACCTCTGCTGGTTTATGACTGTGGGATGGGACAGAGCAGGGTGTGACTGGAGCTGGGGACAATGAGACCTGGCCACTCAGAACTTTGGAAGTTGGGTCAGAGACATGGCCTCATCTGGAAGTTTGGGGGAATCTATAAAAGGCTAGAACTGACGTGTGGGTGTCTGCCAGCATCTACAAAAGACTCCTAGGTTACCTTTGAGGAATCTAGGCCTGCACCTTCTGACATAGAGGGGTACCTTCCCCCAAAAAATGGATTTTTTTTCACAAAACAACCTCATCTTCAAAGTACTCTTAATACACTTATACATCTTCAAAGTATACTTACTACACTTGTCCAATATGCGATTCCATTCTTGGAAACATTTTTCAAACTCATCTGTTTGGATGGCTGGTAGTACCTCTTTTTTTCTTCACATCCTCTACCTTGTCAAATTGCTGTCCTATCCTGTTCCTCTTCATTCTCAAAAACAGAGTTTCACAGAGCGAGGTCAGGTGAGTAAGGTGCATGGGGCAAGGGAGGCATGCTGTTTTTTGCCAAAAGCTGGCACACTGAGATGGGTACTTGAGCAGGTGCATTGTCATGGTAGGCGTTTCTAGTTGCACACATGCAATCTTTTCAGAACCTCTAAATAGCTTGATTAGCAGTCTGACCTGGTGGAACAAACTCCCAAAGCACTACGAGTTGACATTTTCGTCTTCATCTGTTCAGGAAGATAACAGATGTCCAGAACGAGGTTTGTCATCAATATTTCACCTTTTTTGAAATGAGAAAACCACTTGTATACTTTTTCCCCCATAATCAACATCACAACAGTTTCTGTGGCATTTTTCCAGAGCAGGAAGCAAGATTTCACAGCTGCAAGCTGTTTTCTTAAATTGGCCATCACAAAAAATAGGTTCAAACTTTTATGAAAGTTCACTATGGCCAGAGAACCTTTCCAGGTGACGCCACTGGGTGCACCAACTCAGAGGGAGATGCTAGATGCTCTCCTGCTGCATACTACAAAAGCTCCGGCTCTTCCCAGTGGAATTCCAGGTTTTTTTGGGGGGTACCCCCTTGGATGTAAACCACACACCTAGGTGGGGTGTGACTCCAGTTGGGCCATCAGGAACCTGAGGCTGCAATTGACAGCTGTCCTCGGGGCTAGGTTATGGGCAGAGCTCACAAATCCCATCTTCACCACGGTAGCACCATAAGAAGCAAGACACTACTGAGCCCAAGACTCCCAATCCAGAGTGAATGGCTGGTAGACACTTGGGTTCCCCCCCAGACCTAACAAGGTGGCATCCTTGGGGTGCAGAGAGCCCACTGATGAAATCCTGGTGCTCACTGCCTGGAAAAAGTGGGGGCATTGGGGGACTGAAGGCATCGGCCCTCCCTCGGACTTGGCTACTTGAATTGGTTCACTTGAAATAGGACTTAAAAAACCCCAAATTGTATGTGTGGGTGTGTTTTGTTGAAATTACTTGGGAAAGAAATGAGTCCTCAGGTGGATCAGAGGACAGAAGGTTGGAGCTGTGGAGTTACCCTGGTCACTACTTGGGAAGGACTTTTCTGAAACAGATGCAAACACACAAAGGGACAAGTAGATGCGGAGTTGATGGCATTGCTTGAACACACGTTGGCCCAGCTAGGACCCAAAACTAAGCTGTACCCCTGGGACGTCCCATTACATGAACCAATCAGTTCCCCTCGGCGCTCACACTTGATGGGGGATTCTGTTCATGCGTCTCAGTATGTCTCCATTGAGAGGGTAGCGAAGGGTGTTGGGGAAGATCAACCCAAGTGTGGTCAAGAGAAACGGGAATCCAGTTAAGAGACTGGCCTGAAAAAAAAAAAAAAAAGAGACTGGCCTGGTAAGGCGTGTTCCCTCTGGGCAAGCCCGGTCTGTGCTCAAATTGGAGGGCTTTGGGCTCCGAAGTAACTAAATTCTTTCTAAGGTGTTAATTCCTGCTGAGGAAGGAAGGTCAGGTTGGGCCATATTGAGCACTGACCCCTGGGTGTGTGTGGTCCCGCTCAAGGGGTGACTGGGGTCTTGGGCGTGTGCGCGCACGCGAGTGCGTGCGGGGTTCTCCTCCCCAGCTGCTCAGCTGGACGTGCAGTGTGCACGACCAATTGTGTGGCCAGTCTGCCCGAGAGTGCCCGGCTGCATAGCTTTACACCGAGAGGCGTGGCGGTGGCGTGTGCACCCTCCGTGAAAGGTGAGCCCGACGCCCCGAAAGTGCCCTGTCCTGGCTCGGCTCAGCAGGTGGGTGCAGCGGACCTCTCCCTCCTGCCCTCTGGGGCGGCCACCTCGGCTGTGTGTTCCGGGGGGTGGGGGGCCCTCTGCCGGCCGCCTTGCGCGCGCGCGCGCACACGCCGGGCCCGGTACGCGCCGTGTACGCGCCCGTGCGCGCGTCCCGCGGCACCAGCCCAGATCTCAGAGCCGCTTTCGTTGCCACCTTCTGCTCCCCGGGGCCGCCGCTGCCCTGTCCCCGAGGCTGGGGGCTTTGCTTGCTGGGCCCGCGACGCTCGCCCCGAAGCAGGAGGAGAAGCTTGAGGAGGATGCCTGGGCCCGTGAGTACCGCGGCGGCGGCGGCGGGCGGGCGAGGGGCGCGGGTGGAAGACGGTCCCGGGACTGAGCCCCTCCCCGCGGGCGGCTCTGCACCTGGTCCTCAGGTCCCGATCCCGACCCCTGCCCCAGCCTCGGAGTGGACCCTCCCCCAGGCCACCCTGGGGGTTGGGCGAGAGGAAAGGAGAGTGCCAACAAGCGAGGGAGCCGGAGTGGGGCGCGAGCCGCCACGGGTTCGCTTGGAAACGGTTGCCACAGCAACGGGGTTGCGCTCCCCGGCAACGCGACTGCGGGGCGGCGACGCCCCCTCCCGCCCCTCCCCCACCCCACTCGGGCCGCAGCTGGGGGGCGCAGAGGGGGGTGGGGAGAACACGGGCCCTCTGGTCTTAGATGGGCAACCTTCGCCCCTCGAACCCGTCTGGGTGTGCCTGCCTCCACAGCCCGTCCGGGAGTGGGGGTGGGGGGCGAGCGGACCCGTGGGCACGAGCTGGCTCCCACGTGGCTGCAGTCGTTGCAGCAGGGCTCATGGGGTGGCTGCAAACGTGGGGGCGGCCCAGACCCTGGGCCTGCAGCAGGAGCTCGGGGGAGATGGGAGGAGGCTGGGCCCCGGACACCGCCATCGCCCAGGGGCCTTCTCCCGCCCATGGAGTGCCCAGGCTGAGTTGGGTCCCAGCAAGAGGATGCTCGCACCTTGCCTCATGGCTTGGGAAGGCATATGCCGAGCCGCAGCAGCTCCGGCCGCCGTGGGTCTCTGTTCCAGCGATCCAAGGCACCGTTCGCCAGGGAGGAGCGAGAGTGGCGTGGGCAGGAGCCAAGGAAGGGACATTGTTGACCCAGGGAGGGCCAGCCCAGGCCAAATAGATGGAACCCGGCCCCTTGTCTGGCTCACAAGCACCCTTTTCTTGTCTGAGCAACAATGCCTGACTGTGCGGGTGTTGCGGGCACGTCGACCAGACCAGCAGGAATACCAACCCCCCATGGAGGTGCTGCCTTCCACGGAGCTCCTTGAGAGGAGCCTGACTCTGCTGAGTCAGAGGAAATGACCTCTGGCTCCTCTCCCAACCTACCACCTTAAGGGAGAAGGGACCATGCCGGGGAGAGAAACGGCCCTCCTGCCAGCTCTCCCAGGCCTGACTCAGCAGATAGATGCCAGTGGACCACAGGCCTCAGACCCATCAAACCAGTGACCACAACCATGCTTGGGGTTGCTGAGGGAGGTATCCAAGGCCCCGGCAGTGACCAGTGTCTGGGGCATCTGAGGCCTTGGCATGAAATGCCCTCAGACAGGTGGTGTCTTGGGAGGTGGGTCCCAAACCTCCCACCAGCAGGGGTGCTTTGGGCATTAAACCCAGGATCCTTTTCACTCTGTCCTGGGTGAGACCCGTGTTGAATGCTTCGTGCCCATGACCACTTCATTTCCCCAACCATGACACAAGGTAAGTTGTCACCTCCATTTCAGAGGTGAAGACGCTAGAGGCATGCAGGGCAGGGGAACTGACTTGCCCAAGGTCACACAACCAGTAAGAGGTATTGCTTAGGTTTCCAGTCTGGGTTTCTCTGCTTGCAAAACCCCCTCTCTGCCTGTCCCACGACATCTTTGTGACTCAGGCAGAAAAGAACAGTAGAGCCTTCTATGGGGGCCTCCTTTATCCTCCTTTGTAGTCCTCTGGTGAGGACCTTCCGTGTCTTTCAAACCTTTGTATACCTTTTTGTCCCCTCCAGCAAAATCCGCCAGATTCTAGCTCCCCTCAGTGTAATAGAGGCCTGTGCTACTGCTGGACTTGCTTCCTGGCGCCCGCCTGCCTTCCCTCCCTCCCTCCCTCCCTCCATTTTCTCTCTCTGGGTGAAGCTGATGGTGAAGGCTGCCTCTTGTCTTCTGGGCAGGTTCCAAGTGGGGGGCAGGAGAGGGGCTGTACTCAGGATCTACAGGACAGCAGTTCCTGTGGGAGGGACCCTGAAAGCCTAGTTGTTGGTTCTTGGACTCTGTGGCCTGATGGACATACCACCCCTGGGGATTGGCATAAGCAGATCTATCGAGTGGGGACTCAGTCTGGAGGGGCAGATGGAAGGAGTGAGGTGAGCCGGGGAACTGCTCCACCCCAATCTGTCGCCATGTGAGGATGTGGGCTCTGAGCGGCTGGATGACCCACTGTTCAACACGGGCCAGAAACCCAGATTTTTATGCAAAACCTCCTGGTGTTCACATGTTGGCAACTCATTAGAATATTTTTCCCAAGTAGATCATGGACTGACAAAAACATGGTCCGACCTGAAGGTTGTTAAGTTTGAGAACCTGAGTCCCTGGCCAAGGGACAGTGCTTGCTTACTGAGATGAGCCTGCAGCTCCCCGGCCCTTGCCCCCCACCCCACTGGTTTCCCCATTTCAGCCTCAGCAGAGCTGGCTTTTGTTAAGCAGGCAGCTGTGAGCCCCCCCACTTGCCCCCCCCTCCGTGCAGGCAGTTTTTTCATACCCTTCTCATTCGTGCTCCGCCTCGGTGCTCCAGGCTGGTCTCAGCACCCCTGACTGTACAGGCAGAGACCCTCCAGCCATGGATGGGCCCCATCGCTCACTGAGGGCAAAAGCAGGGTACGAGCCCAGGCTTGCTCCTTGTTGTACCTGGCTGCCCCTCTGGAGGGTCACATCACCTCCTCCTGTGGGGCCACGTCCCTTGGAGGCACAAATTGTTCTCTCCCTGCCTAGATGGGAGGATGGAGGCCCACAAGCCATTTGTCCCTGATCTCCAAGGAGGAGCCTGCCCTCGGGGGCCAAAGCTGAGGACAGGGACACTGGCCTGTATCAGGCCTTTACCCCCGGTCCTCAGGGACCCGACTTTTGTCCCATGTGCATTTCATAAGTTCTGGGTCCCTGACTGAGTGTCACAGTTGGGCCACAGAATCACACCCCGTGTGCAAGAGCCAGCTGTGAGAGATGGGGCAAGGCCATTACTTCCCTAAGAAAATGTCACCAGGGCCTCCCAGCTGCCAGAACAGCAGGCTTTTCTGAACCCTAGACGCCCCTTGGCTCTGGGGGCCTCAGCTGGCCCCTGACTAAGCTTCTGTCCTTGGCTGCAGAAGGAGAAGATGACAGCCACCCTGGGCCCAGGTGTTACTGAGGGACCAAGTGCAGTCACCCCTCTTGCACCCCACTCTCCACTCAGCACACCCCATCTCCTGGCCCAGGGACTCTCAGTGCCAGCCTCCCGTCTGGGGAATTTCCTTGTGGGGCAGAACCCTGCTGTCCGGGGTTTCCTGTCTCCCCAAAAGCCCAGTGTGTGCCTGCATGTTGTCTCAGTCACAGAGATATGACTTCTCAGCCCACCAATCTCCCATCAAGGTGAGCATCTCAGTCACAGAGATGTGACTTCTCAGCCCACTAATCTCCCATCAAGGTGAGCGTCCTAAGTGCCACTTTAGTCAGTGGCCAACATTTCCCAGCATGCAGCCCAGGAATGAACTGGATGTAGAGTGAGCTCTGGAGGTGTTCTTGCGCCGTGGCTGAGACCCTGCAGGTGATGGGACAGCTGCCGCGCTCCTCCAATAAGTGGGCTGGAGTGGCCGTGTCCTAGGTTATGCAGAGGCAGCCCTCTGGTGTTGGACACAAGACACTCTGCTATGGTTGTTGGGGCTGTCTACCAAGTGGGCTAACGAGCACGTGCTGGGCCAGAACAGCCAGGGCTGGGCTGCAGGGCTGGGAAGAGAAAGTATGCATGCTTGAGAACACTTGGCAGCCCAGAGAAGGCTTGGCGTGCTTTCTGCAAAGGGACAGCATGCCCCAAGGTGAGACCCGAGGCCTTGGCAGGAGCTCCTTCTAGAGGCTAGGATCTAGGTCAGTGATTCTCACAGGTCTCTGGTCCCTGGTCCAGCAGCAGGAACAGCAGCACCTCCTGGGAAATGTGGGAAATATAAACTCCGAAGCCCCACTCCCCCAACTTCCTATCAGCTGGGAACCTTGGGATAGAGGCCGGATCTGTGTTTGAGCAAGTGCTTCTGACACTCGCTCAAGCTCGAGAGGTGCTAATTGAACCCACTGTCAGGAGATGGGCTGTGTCCCCAGTGTAGTGGGGGAAACCTGCTGGAGGATGGGGGCAGGAGAGGGCAGGAGAGTGGGCAGCCTGGGCAGGGACAGCAGAGAAAGCAAGGAAGTGGTGGCAGGGGTGGTGAAGACAAGGGTGGCCCAGCCATAGCAGTGACAGAGGGGCTGAAGCGGTGGACAGGTGCCTGGAAGGGTGGCAACAACAGGCCTTAGGATGCTGGGGGCATTCATTTGAAGGGTAAGGCGAGTGATGCCAACAGTAGTGTGTGGCACAGAGTAGGCACCAGGCCCTGTGCTGAGAGACCTGAGGGCTTCGGAAGGCCTGGGATCTATCTGAGCCAAGTTCTCTCATCTGTCAATCCAAAAGAACTGCCCTCTGCCCCACAGGAGGCTGTTGAGGGTCACTGTGGTGTCCAGCCCTCAGGCAGGGGCCTTTTCTGTTCCTCTGTTCAGAGCTGCTGTCTGGTGGGCACTGCCAAGTTGGTTACAGATACGCTCAGCCTGCACCATAGCCGGAGATGCAGAACTGGGGGTTCCATTTTTGTCCATCCCCACCCCTGTGCCCCACTGGTTCCCTGTGCATGTGTGACTTAAGAACATGAGACAAAGTGCTATGTTCAAAACACTAAACCAAGAGGACACCCTAAAAAAAGAAAGAAAAAAAAAGTTCGCACAGGAACGAGAAGCACAGTGAGTAATCAAGTGGCAGAGGTGAGGATGATGCCCTGGGAAGGACAGGCTCCTGGCCCAGGCTGGGCTGGTGTTGGCCGATGGAACCCTGGAGGGGTGCAGGCAAGAGGGGAGACTGCAGGGCTCCCCAGACCAGGGCAAGAGCGTGCACAAAGGCAAGGGCTAAAGGGCAATGTTTTGAGAAGGCAGACTGGCCAAGTGAAACATTTGGAAGAATCTTCATGAACCTGCTGATGCTTACCTATGGAGTACCTAGTGTGGTTCAGATGGGAAGATTCTGGACGACCCAGGGGGAGGAGCTAGGACCCTTCCAGGTTTGGTCGAAAACCAAATCAACAAAAAGGCAACTCACTGCCATACAGTCCATTTTGACTCATAGCAGTCCTACAGGGCAGTGTAGAGTTGCCCTTGTGGGCTTCTGAGATGGGCTCTGGGAGTAGGAAGCCTTGTCGTTCACCTGCGGAGCAGCTGGTGGTTTTGAACTGCTGACCTTGTGGGTAGCAGCCCAACGAGTAACCCACTGGATCAATAGCTGATGCAAGTGCCTAGTTAGTACCATATCCTGGCTCAAATAGGGTGAGCGATGGACCCACCTTGGGGTCCTTCAGCTGTGGGAACTAAGCAAGAGACAGTTCCCCTTCCTGACCTGTAGTTTCCACAGCTGCAAAACGCAGCAGGGCCTACTGGCTGAGGCAGAGCAGTGGCACCGTCAGGTCTTAGGTAGGGCTTGCTTTAGTCTGACCCAATGCTCAGCTCTCCAGGCTGGACACCCTCAAGGCTCAGCCCCTATGCGTGAACCACGGAACCACTCTCCCTCCCTCCCAGGCCTCGGAGTCCTTTCCCACCCTTGAGCCATTTCACAGTCGCCGTGGGCTGCTGGCCCAGTGTGCGGTATGCCAGGGCCTTGGCAGGAAAGGCAGGAACACTATGAGCTCTACCCGTCTGCCTCCCCCCCACCTCCACACACACACACTGCCTGTAAGCTGTGTACCAAGTCCTCAAGGGCTTGTCCTTGACACCCTACTTGTCATGCAGGGGAAAGCCTTTTGACACAGACTTAGGGATTCAGACACGGGTTCAAATCCTAGCCCCCTCTCTTTATTAGCTGTGTGACCTGGGGTAAGTCATTTCCCTCTCTGAGCCTGTCTCATCTATCAAGTGGATCCAGCCCTCCAGTGACGGGGGAGTTGACCACCACATACAATTCTAGATGTCAAGCACCTAGAACCCACCCCCCCACCCCCACCCTCCACCCCCGTGACAAGCTCTACACGGCCCTGAGCAGGTATTTCTAATTGAGCTCCATCCCATCATCTCCAGCCCTACAAGCGCCTTTTCTGACTCAGAGCTATTCCTGTCCCGAAATCCAAGGGGCCCCCTCGTTCGTGCCAGCGTTCTCAGAGCATTCCTGAAAATTCCTGAGGGCTCAGGAAAAGGAGAACAACAGATTTAATTAACTCCCAGTGACTGGCAGCATCGTGTTTTTATCCGGGCTGCGTCGCCATGGCAGCCTTGTGGAGGGGGGGTTGTTGAGGGGGCGGGCGGAGCTATTGTTCATGCCATTGTCTGTTCTGGAACGCAGGCCTGGAAGAAAAGGACTGGCACGGGCACCCAGTGTGGCACATGGCTGCAGGCAGCCATGGAGTCAGACAGAAGCCATCTGGGGAAAAGGTGGGGCGGCATGGCCCGGCTTCTCCCCAGTTTCCCAACCAGCCTGAGATGGCTTTGTCTGGAGCCTCCCAGCTGGGGTTCAGGTCCACCGTGGCCCCCAGAGCAGGGTGCCTTGTGCCTTCAGCCTGCCTGCTGAAGGTGGGAGGGACAGGTCCCTTGGATTTCCAAAAGAGGCCCCCAGAGCAACTCAGGCAGCAGCACCTTCCCCACTCTGCCCAGGCTGGGGTTGAAACGGTGGCCCTGCCAGTACCATCTGTGCAGCTATTGGAAACCCACTTCCTCGTACGTAAAACAGGAGTGATTCCACTTACCCCCACTCTGCGCCCACCCCCCATTACACCTGGAACCTGGCTGTGGAGAGGAGAAAGGGGGATTGGAGTGGCCTTCTGGGCTCTGTCTACACTCCCTCCCTTCAGCAGAGGGAAGGGAATTGGGGAAGGGGCCTGGAGCTGGGCCCAGGGTGGTGGTATGGGGAAGTCTTCCTGGAGCTGAACAAAGGAAGGAGGTCCACTAGGCAGACAAATCAGGGGCTGTGGCACATAGTCCGGAGCGTGCAGACGAGGAAGCTGCACTGAGCGACCCCCGGGGGTTCTATGCCTTCAGCAGCTAGGCCTGGGGAAGGATATAGGCCAGAGGCACTGGCAGCTGTCAGGCATCTGCACAGGACTGTAGTCCGACGTCCGCTTCATTGCTCGGGGGGGGGTCCTCTCACGGGAACGGTATCATCTCCCTGCGCAGACTCCTTTTTAGCGCCTCGGGGCCTCGGAAACCGTGTCCTAGCTAGGGTCCCTCCCCTGTGTTCGGGGACGGCCGGGGACGTGGTGGCGGAGTCTGGTCTCGCGCGCCCCCTGCTGGTCCGTCTCGTGAACCCTCCGCACCCAGGCTCAGCGGCGGCCCTGTCTCAGATCGGGGGAAACCCTACCGGGGAAGCCTGAGTGACGTCAGCCTGCTCGGTGACGTCATCGGGGCCCCAGGGAGTGCGGGGGTTCCCGCAAGGAGGCTTCCCCGGGCCCGCGCCGGGCACGGGTGCGGACCGGGATGCTGCAGGGGGCGGCAGCACGCCTTCACCGCGCCCTGTGTCTGCCCACAGGTCCCACGCGGCCCTGGGTGAGGCAGCCCGCGCGGCCGCCGGCGCCATGGGAAGGAGAGGGCGCCGCTGCTGCCCCCCGCCGGCGCGCGCACGACTTGAGCCCAGCCACGGGCAACCCCCGGCTGCGGGCCCCCAAGTGACGCTGGCGGCCCCTGGGAGTGTGGCGCGGGCTCGGGGCCACGCGGAGGAGCGCAGTGTCCAGTGAAGCAGTGGAGGACCCGCCGCCCGCGTCGCCGCCATGGTTATGTCCCAGGGCACCTACACGTTCCTGACGTGCTTCGCCGGCTTCTGGCTCATTTGGGGGCTTATCGTTCTGCTCTGCTGCTTCTGCAGCTTTCTGCGCCGCCGCCTCAAACGGCGCCAGGAGGAGCGACTGCGTGAGCAGAACCTGCGCGCCCTCGAGCTGGAGCCCCTCGAGCTCGAGGGCAGCCTGGCCGGGAGCCCCCCGGGCCTGGCGCCACC